GGTTCTGGCTGGAGCAGGGTTCTGCAGAGAGCTGTGGACTGGAACTCCTGCATGTTTGGCTGCCGTGCCTCATGTGAGCATGTGTTTTCTTACAAGTTGTATTTCAAAGTCTGAAAGTGTCTTCGTTCCGTGCTGACTGTCCCTGGAGTCTCTCTCTTACCTCTGTTTGCTGGGGAGGAGGGCCTGTTTGTGGAAAGAGGACAGGAGAACAAAACCTCTCCTCCTGGTTCCCAGGCCCCTGTGGCGATGGGTGCGAATTGTCAGAATGCCAAATTAATATTTCTCCCTTCGTTTAATTCCCATACACTTCTGCCCTCATCTTTCTTCACGTCCCCTAGATGCCCTGCTGGGTGTGTGAGTCCCCCTGGCGTCCTGGGGCATCTGTACCCAGGACACGCAGGGGGTTCAAGCACCCCTGTCTCTGCGTTTCTGGGGTTCGAGTTGACAGCAGAACAGACGAGAGCTTCATCTTCTGGTGGGAGGGGGTTCTGTCCACAGACCAGCATGAGAAACGCTTTGCTCTGGGAGGGGGGGGGGGACAGATGAGAATAGGTGTTCTGCTGCCAGTTTCGGGTGCTGGGACCTTTGCTTTCATTTCTAGAAGCATACAGTCACAGTGGTTGCAAATGAGAGGAGACTGTAAAACAGCTTTTTCTGACTTGCAAACTCTAGTTTGCTCTAGACCGGCTCTCTGTGCAACGGGGCCGGAGTTTTCTCTAGACCGGCTCTCTGTGCGAAAGTGCTGGGCTTGCTCTAGACCGGCTCCCTCACTCTCTGTGTGAGAGAAGAGCTTCCTGTTGTCAGTCCTAAGTGCACTTGTGTCCTGAGGGCCTGGGGTGGTTGTGGAGCTTGAAGTCATCCACTCGCCTGATGAGCTCAGTGTGGTTTATGCGGCTGGTAAACCCTGGAATGGCTTAAACTGCTGTGCAGTGGAGTTTTCCTGGGATTGGATCTTTTAAGCATCCCATTACCCGGGTGAAGCAGTTTGTAAGGATGTATTCTGTTTATTTGGGTTTTTACTCACACCTGAAGAAGGCTCCACGGCCGAAACGTTGTTTTCTTTCTTCTCTTTTCAGCCTGGAATAAACCTATTACTTGTTCCTTTATATTCTATTTATTACTGCTTTGCTTCCTGGGTCCTCCAAGGGGGATCTGAGCTCCCGTTCTCCTGCGGTGCGCGGCGATGAGCTCCAGTGTGTGAGACCGCGGCAGGGCGGCTGGGCTCCCCGCTGCCAGCAGCTGGTTAACTGTCTGAGAGAATAAAAGCTGTGCTCCTGCCCCTGTCCCCTTGCCAGCGCCCACATTCCCCTGAAGAATTCATGAGCTGTCGTCCTGGCTCTGTCCCGGGAGACACTCATGCATATCACCTGCGAAGCGCAGGGCCGGGTCTGGCTGTGCCACCCGGCGCGGGCCTGTCCGCTCTGCCACGCTCCAGTGCCCGCGGTGTCTCGTGGCGTGGGCTTCGCTCGTGCTGATTCACTTATCTACTTGGCCGAAACTCAGCAGGCCCCTCATCTGGCATGAAGATGCATTTGGACTTAGACATTCCTGCTGTTGTTCTGCAACTCCTGTCCGTCTGTGTCTCTCCATCCATCGGTTCATCCCTACTTTCCTCCTCACTCTCTTTTCATTTATCTGCTTCCCTATGCTCCCTGTGTGTGCTCGTTAGCCAGGGGGCTTCAAGGTTGTTAAGCTCCCTGGTGCTCAGGCTTGGCCCAGCGGGTCACTGATTGCTTTGCTGCGGCAGCAGCAGCAAACAGCTGCAGACAGCTGGGTTCCACTTCTGCAGCTGTGCAGAGAAACGGATCCCAGAGCTCCGGGCCATCTGCTCAACCCAGGGAAACGGGCCAGCGTGCTGGACGGCGGACTGCTTTTCTGGGCCCAGAACGGCCCAGGAGAAACCACAGTCGATCAAAAAGGATACATGTGGAAATAAAGACTAGGGTGAAATCCCCCTCCACCATCC